AAGAAGAAGAAGAAGAAGAAGAAGAAGAAGAAGAAGAAGAAGAAGAAGAAGAAGAAGAAGAAGAAGAAGAAAAGAAAAAAGACAAGGTCTCACTAAGTCACCTTGGCTGGGATCAAACTTGGAATCTTGCTTCAGCCTACTGGGTTCACAGGTATAAGCAACCATACCTGGCAAGATGTCATAGCTTAAAAATCATACATGGCTCACCAGAAATACTATACACACAAGCCATGTGTCTTCAATGTACCAGGACCTACTGCCGTGCAAGTGGAGCCCAAAAGGCACACCATAAGAAACACACAGGAGTCTGTGCTGTGCCCAGCTCTGCCTACCAGGGACACTGTACACAAACCTGCATACCAGCAATCACAATGCTTATTATCTGGCAAAGAGCCCCAAAAGAGGTACAAAGCAGTGCACAACTATCCAACTATCTCACATCTGGCAAGTGCTTAATATCAGCCACTGTACAGTTGCTTTGTTAGCAAGCATATACACATGTAGATAGGAAATTCTTGGTTTTTAAAATTACACAATCTATAAATGCAATACCCTTTTTATGAAATTAGAACATTACTAGAAAACTAATAAAATGGGGCCAGGGAGAAAGCTCAGTGACACAGCACCTGCCTGGAAAGTGCAAGGTCCTGAGTTTGATTCCCAGTACAAAAAAAAAAAAATTAATAAAATGGAAGTTGTGGGTGTCAGGTACTGTCTCAGAAATAAGAAACTGAGTGACACCATCACTTCTCAGGTGGTTGGGATGTTATCCGTGAAGGAAAGAGGAAAACATGCAGCTGGGACCATCTTGCTGCTGTGGAGTCTGGCTTACCTAGGGGGCCCTATGAGCAAGGAGGGAACTTCTGAAGGCCTCAGGGAGGACAACAGGTAAAGTGAGGCTGCCTGTATGAGGAGTGACAATATTCGGAAGCAAAAAAGCCAAATTAACAAAAAAGGAAGCTCAAATAGCCTAGGAAAAGATTTCCAGTTTTAGGATGACACACTGACTGCATTTCCTGTTTTCACAAACCCCACTAGAAAGCTCAAGGAAATGAAAAAACAGGGACTGGGAGTGTGGCTCAGCAGCACAGCATAGCTCCTGTGGCCCTACATCCATCTCACGCACCATCAGAAGGAACATCTTGTGACAGAGCAGCCAGCCAGCTGGCAATAACTGAAGGAACTGCTCTCTGGAAGAGGGTTCTTTTGCTGCTGCTGATCTATGGACAGGACCATTAGGAACAGAGATCCTGTCAGCACAGGTTCAGCTGGTTCTTGCTAATGAACATGGTGTGATCCCTATAGCTCTGGTGGCCATTGTGAAACCTCAGGGTATTTTGACACACTTAAGACAGCTTACGTCCACTTGGGTGGACAGATGTGAAGGCCTTGTAAGCACCAGATTTGTTGAGCTGGCCCTGGGCTGTGTTTCTCAAATTTTTTGTTATGGGACAGCTTTTCTGTCACACTCAGACACACCCTGACTGACATGTAACAGGAAAATTACAGATCGCTATGCATGTGAGAAGAGACAGGATGGCTCCTGGACCCCGCAGACCCAGGCTTCCACCCCGCGCCTGGATGCGCCAGGTTGCACCATGCATGCGTGACAGGGATGACAGCGTCAACAACCAGTTCCTGTTACAGCCTTTGGCGTGCAGAGGACATCCAGCTAAAAACCCTGCTCTCATAGGCGTCTGGTAGGACGGCAAAGACTTCCTGATCTAAGGCCCGTTTGTCCTCCAAAGGAGTCCTGACCCATCTTCTATAAACAATAAAGCGCTCTAGATCACTTTGTATCTGAAGCTAACAGTCCTGAAAACTGGTCTTATCATAGCTGGAGCTGAAACACGTACTTTTAAAATGTTGGCACCCCGAAGAGATCCGCAGAGTGCTGGGTGATCCGGATTCTGGAGAATATGCTGTCTAGACCTGTCTCAAACTTTTATAAAAAGCCCCAATGTCTCTCCCTGTCGGCCTGGTTCCTCTCTTTGAAACTCACCCGCTGTCTTCCTTGGTAGCAGACGCTCATCTAAATAAACCCTGTTCTTTTCTAAAAAAAAAAGAGAGAGAGAGGGAGGAGACAGCCTGGCATGCTAAGAACTATATACCCCAGATGAGGTGACAAAACTATAAAACTTCATTGAAGATGATCAGGGAATTTAATAAGGAGAAACAAACAAACAAAACAAAACCTATGGAAAATCATCATTTTGCCCAAATCAACATCTCAAAACCACCACCACCCTGCAAACATTACCTTGAGTAAAAGAAGAAAAAAAAAAAGAAAAGAAAACTTGGGGCCAGGGAGTTAGCTCAGTAGAATAAGCACTTGCCTGGCAAGTGCAAAGGCCTGAGTTCAATCCCCAGTTCTGGAAAAAAAAAAAAAAAAAAAGGAAAGAAAAAGTAAAGCCAGTCAGAAAAAAACACAGTTTAGGGTTTTCTGTGCATGCGGTGTCAAGAGCTAGCCAACCCTAAACACATGGGCCTCCACTCAGGTGGCAGAAGCGCCCTGGAATCAGTGATGATGCTCACACAATCCTGTGAAGGTACTAAGAACCTCTGACGTGTAACTGCTGTAACTTCAGGGTATTTCTGGTAGATGAATTACATTTCAATAAAACTGACTGCCATGATGCTCACAGTCTCAGCATTTCTTCTTGTGGAACAAGTCCATATTTGCCACCAGAATGCTTACTAATGATAACTTTCTGCAGTGGCTTTTTTGCCTCTGTGATAATACAGCTAAGGACTGGGGAATTAGGAACAATGAGATTGTACCCTCGTTCTCACCAGAGCTGGAGGAATGCTCTCGCCCTGCACAGGTCGACTCTGTGGAAGAGGCAGAGGCTGTGAGGAAGAGGTCTGATGTTGATGTCGATGGCTGTGGTTCTTCCAAGCATGCCTGTGTGGCAGGCAATTGTGGTGAGACCTGGGGGTCGTCACTCAACCCTGGACCTGAGGTATCTTTGGACACGTGGAACATATTTTCTTTATTGGCTTCTGAAAGCACAAAAGAATACAAAGAGCACCTACTTGGGGCTCACGAGGCATAGCAGTGGCTGAATGCTATTCAAGAGTTCAACAGCCTTCACACATATCCGTGGCTTGGCCAGCAGCTCACTTACCAAAGGATTCCTGGGTCATGCCTTGCTTTTCATTCAAAGATTCGTAGAGGTATGCCACATCTAAAAACAAATAAATGAGTGTGGTGGCCATGTGGGAAGTAAGACCTCATCTCTCTTGTTGCCTCTGGTCATGACACAGACCATCTATCTGTCAACTACCCTCACTTATCAGGCAGTAACATCAGTTTAGGATTTCTCAATGCAGTGGCAGGTCTTTACTAGGCATAGGCAAGCCTCAGGGAAGAATGCTTCAGGATGCAGGCTAAGGTGAAGAATGTGTGCTTACATACAACTGCAAGCCACCAAAAGGAATAGATGCAAAATCTTGCAGTGTGGCAAAGGGTTGTTTTTTTTTCTTCTCTGTATTTAGGACAGGGTCTACAGGGTCTCACTATGTAGATCGGACTTGTAGTGATTCTCCTGTTTTCAGCCTCCCAAGTACTGGGATTACAGGTGTGCACCACCAAGCCCAGTCTCAATCACTGTCTCAGCGCACCCCATGGGCAGTTTCATGTAGAAAGATACCTAACTCCTTCTTCATTTTCCTTACGAAGGAAGACTTTGCAGTGACCTCCAAGTATTTCAGGGAGACGTTAAAGGAGCCCCCTAACTGTCCCTGTCCTGTAACATTTTTGCACAACATAAACATAAGACTCTGGAAGCTATTTCCAGGTTCATCTTAGCTATCTCTTGCACATCTCCACAAGAAGAACCTCAGAACCCTATTCCTGGGTTTTTCTATCTACAGCTCCTGGGCCAGTGATAAAGCTCAGTGTGGAGCATCGTCTGCCTGGCAAGCTCAAGGTTCTGAGTTCATCCTCTAGTACCCCCTCCCTGCCTTGACTACCTAAAACTCCAGGCCTTCTACTGTACTCACCACCCAGCTCCGTTCCTTCTCTGTGGCTGGCATTTCAAGATGTGCCACTCATAATGATGGTGGCATTCATGGAGGAAGGCTCTGATCACAAGAGCAACCCTCCCATTCTTCCACTGCTTACACCAAGAAGCAGCATGGACAGTAAAGAGAACGCAAGCCAATATGACTGTTCCAACAGGCTTTCTTTCTGAGAATGCTTTCTGGCCTCCGCTGCTCCCCTCAACACCATACCCAAGTATGTCCTTGACCCCAGGTAGATTTCCTTACTGTGTTCTGGCTCATTCTTCCTGTACACCAGGTAGATGACATCCCCAGTCTGTAAAGGGCAAGTTTGCTTTTTAACAATCTTCAACTTGTTGATTACTGTTCCATTGGTACTGAAAAGCAAACACAGATGTAATTTTCCCTACTCAAAGTAAGTTGGGGTTACACTTTTTTCTGCTACCATTAGAAAATTAGCTAAATATCAGCATTATGAAAATACAGGACCATTAATACACATATGCAGGTACCACTTTATAATTCTGAGAAAAGCTTGTGTGTGATTCACTTTCTCACAAACTAGGAACTACACCATGTTAATAGTGCTTTAGCATTTCTGCTGCTCTTGTGCCAGGCTCCCTTCAGGAACCTCTTGGTGGATCCTGCAGTCTTGTCAGCAGCATGTCTCTATTTGTAGGCCCTCCTGATCTCTGCTTAGCCTGCTCACAGGTCTGTCTCCTTCTGCCAATAGCCACAGCCCTGGTCAGCTCATTGCTCCGATAAGCATTGATTCCTCCTAAGACGTAGGTCTTACTAAGTTAAGCACTACTAACTGAAGATTACTGGCTCCTGTGCTCAGAACATAGTCTGTTGGATTGGAGAGGCCAAGGCACATGTCCCAGACCTAGGCTGTTAGGGGCACACTAAGAGAGACACAAAGGAATTGTCTCCCTGGAAGGGACTTTTAAATGGAGACTTGATGGAAAGTCAGGTGCTGGCTACATGGTGAGCTAACCAAACAGATGAAATTCAGCACTGGAACTACCATACTCCTTAGCTCTGAAACTTCCTTTGAAGGCCCACTCATGAAGGGAATCTAGAGGAGTGAACTTCTACCACAGCTTACTGAGGTTAGGGAATGACAGCACTTTCCAAAAAGGACCAGAAAGTAAGTAAGAACTCTTTGTCCAGGGCTGGGGAGATAGCTTGGCAGTCTAAGTGCCTGCCTGGTAAGCACAAGGATCCGGTACCACATGCTAAGCCAGCACCGGGCCTGTGGGTGCATGGGGTGTGATGACACATGCCTATAATCCCAGTGCTGGGGAGGCTCAGGCAGGAGGATCACTATGAGTTCGAGCTGCACAGTAAGATCCTGTACCAAATAAATAACAGATTTTTAAAAATGTAAAAATAGTCTCTGTCCAACTGCTCCACCCTGCCCATGGTGTGAAGGAGCCACACAAAGCTCCTAGGCTTTGAGGAGGGTTCCGCACACAAAGAGGAATGGCTGCATTTCAGCCATGCTCAGAACAGGCACTGCAGCTCTGGTTGCCAGCCTCACCCTGCACCCTGCAGCTGGGCCCTCTGCACCAGCTTTTTCCTCCATGCCATCTGCTCACCCCTCTGCTCAAGCTCCCATAAGAGATTCACACTGCTCCTGGGCACAGGGTGTGCCCAGGATGGCTCTTCATACACCTTCTGCTCTGATCACAGTCCTTTGAGCCTCTAGGCCTTCACCCATGTGGGCCCCTCTACCTGGCCTATGCCCTTCTGTCTCAGCCTGCCCTTCTCCAGGAATGTGGCATCTCTGAAAATTGGGAAAAGCAGCAACAGATTCTGCCTGAAGTCTCCAAAGAACTGGATCCAACTAGGCCTTAGTTTTAGCCAGAGACCTGTGCTAGACTTTGGACCTCCTCAACTGTAAGACAATGCATGTGTGTTGCTTAAAACCACTAAGTTTGTGGCAATTTGCTGTCACAGCCATAGGAAATTAACTCATCAGCCAGCCAGTCTGGTGAAGCCAGGCCCAACTTAGGCAGCTAGAGTTTCAGTTGTTTCTTTCTTTTTAATTAGCACATATCTGCAACACATAATGAACACATTCTCCTTCCCCTCCCGGTCTCCTTCCTCTCTCCATCCCCAGACTCTCCTTCCACTTGCAAAAGGTCTATCTCCTTGCTTTTTATCTTGCTCTTTATTTATACATCAGATTCTCACATAAGAGAAACCAGGGATATTTAGCCTTCTACATCTTATTTTGCTTAGTATTATGGTCTCAAGGCGCATTCATTTTTCTATAAAATAAATTATCCTCCTTCATGGTTGAGTAGCACTCTACCAAGGAAATATGCATTTTCTTTATCCATTCATGTTAATAAACATGTAGGGTCTTCCAAGACTTAGCTATTGTGATGTGTGCTGCTACTCACACAGGTACACATGCATCGCTGTAATATGATGCTTTAATTCTCTTGGGAGTATACCCAGAAGAAGTATAGCTAAGCTGAATGAAATTCTGGGCGGGGGCGAAAGCTCAGCAGCATAAGCACCTGCCTGGAAGCACAAGGACCTGGGTTTGATCCCTGGTACCATAAAACAAAGAAAAAAAAAAAAAGAAATTTTGGTTTTTTGGGAGGAATTTCCAGATTTTCTTCATTAATTAATTTATTTTCATGTAATTAGTACAGGGTCTACAGGGTCTCACTACACAGATTGGAATTGTAGTGATCCACCTGTTTTCAGCCTCCCAAGCGCTAGGATTACAGGTGTGCACCACATCCAGTCCTGCAACGCCACACCCAATCTAGATTTTCAAAGAGGCTGAAGCTTACATTTCTACCAACAATGCAGAAGAGTTCTTTTGTCCCCCATAAGCTTGCCATTGTTTCTTGTTTTTTGGGTTTGTGATGATAGTTATTCTATTTGAACTAATACGTAATTTCAATGGTGTTTTTCATGTATTCATTGGCATCTGTGCTTCTTTTGAGATATGTCTATTCATTCCAATTGCCCTTTCTTGATTGGGTCTTTTATTTTGGGAGGGGGCTGTTGGGAGCCACAGGAAGGTAGGAAATTGATCAAATGTGTATGGGTGGGACTGGGCCTCAGTGCTACCTCAGTCTTGAGAAAAACATCCTGTCTGGTTCAGGCCAGCTATTAGTCACTAGGTAACCTTGTGTCATGTGTCACTAACCTTGCAAAAGTATAAATAAAGGATCGTTTTGTTGTGCGTGTGTGGCATTACTTTTGCCCATCAGGCAGATTAGTGACCACCTAGCCCAGCTTTTGTCTTCTTGTCTATCTTTCTCATTCCTGCCCAGGGTAGAACTGTTTGCAGTAAGACCAACGGATCTCTATGGGGGGAGGTCTCATGTCCTGGAGTTCTTTTTTTTTTTATTTTATTTTATTTATTTATGTGTGTGTGTGTGTGTGTGTGTGTGTGTGTGTGTGGCCAGCTCAGCCCACCAGGGGGCAGGGCTGGCTGGCATGTGATGCTGGGGGATTGAACCGTGGTCCCTGTGATTTGCTAAGCTTGTTCTGAGTAGGTGCTTTAGACCACTGAGCCATCTCACCAGCCCCTGTCCTGGAGTTCTTTTTCTATTTATTTGGTACAAGGTCTCACTACACAGTTAGGACTCATAGCGATCCTCCTGTTTTCAACCTCCCCAGTGCTGGGATTAAAGATGTGTGCCACCACATCTGGTTTTGGTGACTGGCCAGTCACACCCAGGGTTCTGGGGCCAGCATGGCATGTTGTACCAGAGACTGAACCCAGATCCTTGTGCTTGCCAGGCGGGCACTTAGACCACTGAGCTTTTTCCCTAGCCCCCAAGACCTAGTATTAGAACAAGACTGAAACTGTTCCTACTTTAGTGCCTGATCTCTTAAAAATAGACTCACCTGGGGGAAAAGGCACACTTCACTGTGCTGCTAGAAGCCCCTGGCACATGTACATTTAGTGTGGCAGAGTGGGACACACCTGTAATCCCAGCTACTTAGTAGGGTGAGGTGGGAGGTTGGCAAGCTCAAAGTCTTCCTGGGCAACTTAGCAAAACCCTGTCCCAAAATAAAATAAAAAAGACTGGAATGGAGTTCAGTGGTAGAGCACACGTGCAGGGCTCTGTGTTCAATCTTCAAACAAAACAAAACAAAACAAACAGTACACTGCAGTGAAGCAGTTCCTTCAATAACATACTCAGACATACCTACAGAGCACGGAACCCTTGGCATGTTATGCAGGGCCCTAAACTGGGTGTGGTGGCACATGCCTGCAATCCTAGAGCTGGGAGGCTGAGACAGGAGGATCACTACCAGTCTGAACTGGGTTAGCAAGACCCTGTATCAAAAACAAAACCAAATTAAAAATGGACTGCAGATATAGCTTAGTGCAAAAGTTCTGGGTTGAAACCCTAGAACCAGAAAGACAATTCATTAATTTCAAAAAACTAAGATATTTTAGTTTGGGAGAAAAGTCCAACTTGTATAGGCTTATAAAACAAAAAAATTTAGGCCAGTGAGATAGCTCAGCAGACTAAGCGCCTGCTTAGGCAAGCACAAGGACTGGGGTTCAATCCCTGGCACCACATGCCAAGGTGGCCACCAGGATTGGGCGTGGTGGAACATGCCTATAATCCCAGCACTGGGGGGTGGGGGGGAGCTGAAAGCAGAATCGCTCTAAGTCTGAGCTGTGTAGTGAGACCCTGCACCGAATACATTAAAAAATAATAATAAAACTAAAAACTTGATTTGTTTTTTTCTTTTTTTTCCATGCTAGGAATCATCCAGGGCCTCATACATGCTAGGTAAGTGTTATGGGACCAAGCTGTATCCCCAACTCTTTTCAAAAATTTTTTGAGACATGGTCTTGCTAAATTGTCAAGGCTGGGCTTGAATTTCCAACTCCCATGCCTTAGTCTTTTGAGTAGCTGATATTACAGGTATATATCACCATAACTAGCTCTCAGTGTCTTATTTCTGGGCCAAGTATTGTGGCACATACCTGTAACCTCAGCACTTGGGAGGCTGAGACAGGAAGATCACTGTGAGCCTGGGCTATAAAGTGAATTCAAAGCCAGTGTGAACTACACAGCAAGATACTGTCTTAAAAAACCAAAAAGTTCTATTTCTTATCTAATTAAAATTTTTTTTTGTTTTGGGGATTGCACACAGGGTCTCTGACATGTTATACAAGCAATGTACTACTGGACTATTTTCCCAGCCCATTTCATGCTTTTTTTTTTTTTTTTTTTTTTTTGTATTTTAGGACAGGGTCTACAGGGTCTCACTACATAGATCAGACTCTTAGGGATCCACTTGTGTTCAGCCTCCCAAGAGCTGGGATTACAGGTACATGCCACCATGCCCAGTCTCAATTGCCATCTCAGTGCACCCCTGGGGCGGGGCCAGCATGGTACACTGGGGATTGAACCCCGGCCACTGTGTCTGCCTAAGCAGGCTCTTTAATCCACTGAGCTATTGGGCCGGCTCCAGTCCACTGCATTTTGATACAGGCATGCTCTCACTGAATTGCCCAGGGTTAGCCTTGAACCTAAGATCTTCCTGCTTTAGCCTCCTAAATACCTGAGATTGTAGGTATGTCCTACCCAGCCCAGCTTCTGAACCATAAGTGATTTGAGATGGAGACCTGTAAGTACCAAAGCAATACATAGGATTTCATTCTAGAAACCAGAAAATATACTATGATATCTTTTTTTTTTTCATTTATGTATTTGGTGCAGGGTCTTACTATGTAGCTCAGACTTGTAGTGATCCTCCTGTTTTTAGCCTCACTAGTGCTGGGATTACAGGTGTGTGCCACCATGCCAGACTTGGCTGCCTAGCTCAGCACGCCCCAGGGGCAAGATCAGGGATCAAACCCTGGTCCCTGCACTTGCCAAAGCAGGTGCTTAGTCCACTGAGCCATCTCACCAGCCTAAAATACAAGTTTTGTTGGGTTTTTTTAAAAATGTATGTATTTCGTACAGAGTCTCACTCCATAGCTCAAACTCGTAGTGATCCTCCTGTTTTCAGCCTCCCCAGTGCTGGGATTACAGGCATGCACCACCATGCCCAGTCTCCGTGGCCCACTCAGCACACGGAGGATGGGACCGGTGCGATATGTGGGACTGGAGATCAAACTCAGGTCCCTGCACTTACCTAAGCAGGTGCTCAGTCCCCTGAGCTATCTCAACAGCTATGATATCTTGACAAGCTACCCATCGCGATAAAAGAAAGCAAGCTACTGTTATTACCCCAAAACACACAGTTATCATCTTTGTGAGCCACAAGAAGAAACAAAAAGTTTGGAAAGTGCTCACCTGGTATCTTCCAGGGTCACCTGACCAGACTTTTCATCTACAACAATTTTACAGTGATCTCCAGAGACCAGTTTATTGCTGGGGAATGAAAGGTCACAACCTAAAACAGAGGATAGGAAGACACTGGAAATGAGGTTCTGTGAACTCTTTGTTTTACCGAAGCATGTGTCAGAGTGCCCACATAGGAAACATCCAAGTAGCAACTCATTTAATCCAAAGTAAAAGAGGCGGGCTGTGTCCTGAGCCTTCTTGAACCCCATTACCAACTAGACAAAACAACCTGACTTCAACTTCTTCAGGACAATTTGGTTGCTTTTTAAGACAAAGTCTCAACATGTAGTCCAGGCTGACTCAAATGTGAATTCTCCTGCCTCAGTCTCTCCAGTAACAGGGCTGCAGAACAGCTTAGCTTTTCTTTCTTCTGGTGGCATTGAGTCCAACATCTTTACACTGAGCTGGACTACACTGCAGTTTTTAACTTTGATGTAGAGTCTCACTAAGTCTCTAAGTTGCCTAACCTAGGCTCAAACTTTCAACCCTCCAGCTTCAGCCTCCCAGGGCCCCAGGCTTGACTAGTCAGCACAATTTTATGATGCACACATGCATAATTAGTTTGCTAAATACCACAACTTAACATAAAACTAAGGGGCTTAGTTAACTTAATTCGTAGCTCTCTCCTCTGTATAACCTAAGGTTTCAAGAATCATCACAAAACTGAAACAATGACAAACACAGTTGCAGAAAATCTGAGCAAATTATCAGGGGTAAATGTATACAAGAAAATACAGAACAGAAAGGGAAAGCATCCAGAGCAGAATACATTTGGATTTTTACTACCTATAAGGGGGAAAGGGAAATTCTCAAATATATAATTGTTTCTACTTTAAATCAAAAGTACAAACACTGGACCGGGGAGATGACTCAGTAGAATAAGCGCTTGCATGGCAGGCGCAAGGGCCAGAGTTCAATCCCCGGGTTTTTGAAAAAAAAAAAAAAAAAAAGTACAAACACTTTTAGAAAACAATATCAAAAATTACAAATCACTACTGCTTATAATAGTAGTAGCTTATGATTCTGCATAAAGATACTACAGGTATTAAAGGCAATTTAAGGGCTGGTGAGATGGCTCAGTGGTCTAAAGCACCTACTTATAACAAGCTTAGCAAAGCACAAGGACCGTGGTTCAATCCCCCAGCACCACATGCCAGCCAGCCCTGCGCCCTGGTGGGCTGAGCTGGCCACACACACACACACACACACACACACACACACACAAATAAAGAAAAAAAAAAAAAAAAAAAAAAGGCAATTTAAAACTGAAAAATTTGGGCCAGTGATATCACTCAGTGGTGCAGTGCCTGCATGGTAAGCACAAGGTTTGATTCCTAGCCCCCCACAAAAAAGGGGAAGAATTTAGCACCCTGGAAGCTGAGGCAAAGGATTACCAAGAATTTGTGGCCAGCCTGAGAGCTACACAGTGTGTTCCAGAGCAGCCTGAACTACATCGCACAACCATCTCAAGAAAAGGAGGGGAACATAGTTCAGCCATTTAGCGTCCCTAGGTTCCACCTACACTACGGTGGCTGGCCAACCAAACCAACCAAATAAGGGCCTGGGAGATGGCTCAGTAGAATAAGCGCTTCCCTGGCAAGTGCTAGGGTCTGAGTTCAATCCCTGGTTCCGCAAAAAAAAAAAAAAAGAGCCAAACCAACCAAATAAAACTGAAGAATTTGTGGGGCTGGTGAGATGGCTCAGTGGTCTAAAGCACCTACTTAGAACAAGCTTAGCTAAGCACAGGGACCGTGGTTCAATCCCCCAGCACCACATGCCAGCCCCCCCCCCCCCCGGCTGAGCTGGCCCTACACACTCACACATAAATAAAAAATTAAAAAAAATAAATAAAACTGAAGAATTTGTAAAGGACAGTGACCAGTCAAACTTACTTCTAAAAATGTTCCATGTGGAACTCACTTTGGCTTGAGTTTTTTGTTTTTTTAATGGTGGAGGTGGTGGTGGTACTATGATTTACGCCCAGAGCCTCAAGTGTGCTACACACGTGTTGTGCCACTGGGCTATACCCAGCCCTGGCCTGCGCCTTGCTCCATCACTAATCTAAGTACCT